GTCTTTTTCTCTGCCTGCCTGTCTATCTGTCTGTCTGTCTGTCTGTCTGTCTGTCTGTCTGTCTGTCACTGTCTGTCTGTCACTGTCTGTCACTGTCTGTCACTTTCCGTCTGTCTGTCTCTTTCTGTCCTCCTGTCCATCCATCCATCTGTCCGTGTCTCTGCGTCTGTGTCTCTCTCTGTCCAAATCAAACTAGAATCAATTTCCACCCTCTTCTGATTGCCTTTCATTATTAATCTACACGAGGAGACGGTCTCACATTAGCATACAAATTCTCCTCTGGATCACTTCCCATTTCTCACAAGGGAGACTAAACTGTTCTACTGCAAAGGACTGAGAGCACTGAGAAGATAAATAAAAGATGTGTTTCCGTTGAATTGAAATGTACTGAGTAAAGGAAAAGTACTTCATTCCTCTTTTTCTTTCTCATTTTCATATTTTTCATTATCACTTTCTTTACTAAATTTTTTATTGATTGATGAGATGGTTAGAAAAAAAAAATGTACAACCTTTGAAATTGTGTTTGTTATATACAATATCTCAGTAAACATACAATATATTTATCACTTTTCTACCAAACATTCCAAACAAAATACAAGAACAAAAAATACATACATTTTTTTTTATTAAAATGTAAATAACTTTATAAGAGATCAAACATAAAAAGATTTCTTATCAAAATAAAGACTAGCATTATAAGCTTTAAACAGACTTGGCCAAAAGCTAAACACACTTCACCACTTGCATTTAGCATCTGACAAGAAAGACATCACTGCGAAGACACAAACAGGAAAAAAAATAAGTTAAAATCTAATACTTTCCCCCTTTCCCCCACCCCCCCTTAAGTCTGACTTTAACCTCCCCCCTTTCTCTCCCTCTCCCTCTGTTCCCTCTGTCCCGCATGGTTAAATCCAAGGATATTATGAGGCACATAACTGGCACTTCATTACGCATCCAGAAAAAGATGTCAGTTGTTCACATTCACAGTCAGTATCACAAGAATCCACACTGAAGAACCACCACATCTCTTTTTTTTTTTCCTTTTTTCTCTTTCCTGGCATATGCTTAAAGACAACCAAATGCTATGCTATCTCACAAATCACGGAACTTGAAGAGCAAAAGCATTTTCTACAAATTCAGTGACCGATTCCACTGATCACACCATTCACAATGGCTTTTATCTGTGCATTCAACCTTTAAATATTTCTTTCAAAACAATATCTACATATCTATCAACTTTTCCCCCGCGCTTACACCAAGCCGAAGCCTTCACTCTGCTGGATGGCCTGTAGCAACTTGTACCGCAGTTTCTCCTTGGTGTTATAAACGGGCAAGTCAAGCTGGGCAATACACGTGTGGGCGACTGGGAGGTATGAGTCATCGGCTGTCGACTGGATGATTACCTTCAGAGACTGCCAATTTGAAATGGTAAGAGGGGAAAATTAGATTTTGAAGCTTGAATATTTCTACTGATGTGGACACCAGTCGATAGAAAAAAAAAGAAAATAAGGGAGAAACATTTTAAAAAATGAAGAGGGGGAATGGCTATTAAACTGTAATTTACAATTAGCACAGATTATAGTGAAAGTTCCTCTCCAAAAGAGTGCAGAAGAAAGCAGAAAAGAGAGAATGAAGTAAAAGAAACACAAAAAGAAGGAAAAAGTAAAGAATGAAAAGATCATCATCATCATAAAGAAACAGAAAACACAAAAACCACACTAAAAAAAGTCTAACGAGGCTTTTACCTTCATGCCCAGGATGGGTATACGGTCAGTACCCGTCAGGAAAATGAGGAACTGCTTCTTCTGGTCCACCGTCAATTCATGAAACACCTCCCAGAACATCTTGATGACATGATGGTCAGGATAATATTCTCCCTAATGAGAATCAAAGAACAAAATAGTTATAAAGTGAGAGAAGTGATCAAGACCTCGGGAATACAAAGGGTGGGAAAAAAATATATATATAAAAATCTGATGCAATGGAAAGTAACCCATGAGAAACAAAGCCCTACTATCAGCTAATCTTGTGAGGAAATATGAACATAAAACATGGGGTCCAGCTGCTGGCTATCCCACTGAGAAAATCTAAGCCTACAGTTTTGTATCTTTAATATCAGAAACAATTATTTAAAATTCTAGTTGGAAATTAACAGTTCATTTTCAACTCATTAACCAAATAACAATCTCTTTCAAAGGAAATTAATTTCATGACACAAAATTTGCATAACCCACAGTCAGATTCAATCCTATGTGCAGGCATCTACACACCTCACTTTCACAGGTGTACAAAACATTGAATCCATCCAGAGTTTAAATGAACAATCTTTCAAAAGCCTACTCATTCCAACAAGTTTCCTCTCAAACAACAATTCCTTCCTCAGACATCTCTCTCCAACAACAACGCTCTCAAACACCTTTCATACCATTGCTCTCAGCCCTTAAATACATCTTTCAAACACCCTTAACAATTTCTCTTAAAAGTACTCACCTTATACTCG